TTGCATAATATTCTCAAATAATCAATAAAAATATTTTTAAAATAAAAAAAAATTATGGAATATGGAAGTGAAAGTGTATACAACCACACTGAGCAAGTGCTTTCCTAGAGCTAAAACATAATGAAAGAACATCTATCAAATTAAAAAAAAAATGCCTGGTCCAAATACAATAAATATATAGGCGATGCTCGAATCTGATCAAAATAAATTGCATAATATTCTCAAATAATCAATAAAAATATTTTTAAAATAAAAAAAAATCAAGGAATATGGAAGTGAAAGTGTATACAACCACACTGAGCAAGTGCTTTCCTAGAGCTAAAACATAATGAAAGAACATCTATCAAATTAAAAAAAAAAAATGCCTGGTTCAAATACAATAAATATATAGACCAGTGGTGTGGCTCAGTGGTAAGGGCTTGCTTTCAAATCCTGTGTGTGTATTATGTGTGCACACATGCCTATATCTAATATCTTTGTTTTACCTCCCTGGTAGTTCCCATTCAAAAATGCCAATTTCTGTTTAAATTACCAGCTATGCATACAAAACTACAGTATGTAACCAGTTTTAAAAATTAGATCAATTTTCATATTTCTAAGGTTAGTAGGGCAAAACACATTTAATATTAAACTGTGGCAAAATATATAAACACATATAGTTCTGTATAATGCAACATTTCTAGAACAGGAGGAATCTGTTAAGAGTGTTTACCAAGGACTAAAGAGATGGCTTATCAGTTAAAAGTACTTCTTCCTTTTCCAAAGAACCAAAGTTCAGTTCCCAGCACCCATGTAAGACAGCTCACAGCCACCCTTAATTCCAGTTCTAAAGGATCCAGTGCCCTGCCCTCTTCTGGCTTCAGCAGGTACCACACATATGTTGCATACACTAACATAGACACATGCATACACATTAATAAAAATAAAATCCTTTATATATATTTTATTTATTTTTATGTGTATGAACATATTGCCTGTTTGTAAGCAAGTACACCCATGTCATGCAATGCCCACAGAGGTCAGAAGAGAGCGTCAGATCCCCTGGAACTGGAGTGATGAATGGTTGTTAGCCACTATGTGGGTGCTGGGAAACAAACCCAGGTCCTCTGCAACAGCAACTAGTGTTCTTAACTTCTAGGCCATCTCTCCAGTCCACAAAATCTTTTTTTTACTAATATTTTATTTTTATTTATTTATTTATTTGTTTATTTATTTATTTTTTATACTTCATATGGAACATCCCAAACAATCTTATTCATCTTTATACCCGCATCCCAAATGGCACCTTCCCATAGTCTCCCCACACACACACTGGAGTCCATATACTCTGTTATCCCTGTTATTGTCCACTGTGTTTCCAGTGCCCCCAGCCATTCCCAGGGCAAGTCCATCCGCTGAGTCTAGTCAGCCTATCCTAGAGGCCCTTGTTTTAGAAAGATCAGCTCTTCCTCATCTAACAGCAATCAGTTGCCAACTTTCCTTTTGATAAGATTGGGGTCTGCTGTTCATTTTCCCAGTTCTATGCTAGGTTACTGTCTGGGAGTCTCTTGGGCCACCTTGGCCAACAGCTCAAAGGAAGGTATCTCCTGTCTGGCATTGTTTCTTGTTATGTTGCCTTCAGCTATACATATGGACTCTTAAATATACTGATCACTTTATTCTTTGGTTATACTTTCCTTTCGGGTGTTTAAAACCATACAGTTAACACAGATTAACCGATTTATTTTTAGTCTTAAGGTCATTTAAGGATCTGTTCCTCAGGGGTTACATGGGTTTGGGAGGAGCCCCTGGCTCCTATCTTTTACCAGTTCCACCTATGTGAAGATAAGTCAAAGGTCCTTCTTGACCGTGGCTGGCTTTGCTTGGAAGCATGGAGGAAATGTTTCCTCTGGGTTGACCCTCCTGTTTGTAGACTGGACACTGGTTCAAGATCATCTGGTGGGGTCTCCATGGCCTCCCTGAACAAGAGGACAGGTGACTCACCACAGTTACAGGACATTTTGAGAGCTGCTTCATTGTCCCCTGGAACTAGTTGACCTAGGAAGGCAAGGAGCAAAAACTGTCCTTTATGTCCCTCTGACCAGATTAGTATAGGCCTCAAAGTATGGCTGTTAAACATTCAATAAGGTTAGTTCCACCAGTCTGGTGCTTTTAATTACCATAAAAATATGGAACTTTTCATGAATTTGTGTGTCATCCTTGCTCAGGGGCCATGCTAATTTTCTCTGTATTGTTCCAGTTTCAGTATATGTGCTGCCAAAGCGAGCACCATAAAATCTTTTTTTGTTGTTGTTTTTAAATGTACTAGAAGAAAGAATTTTCTTTTTCTTTGCACTTCATACCTGTAAGTAGAATCTGGGTATTTTACAAAAAAATAAAATTAATTTTTTATAGTAAAACTACTAAAAATATAATGCTATTTATTTCTTCTTTCCCTACTTG